ATCACCACTATTTTACTACCAAGTGTATTTTATAACAATTCCTACAGGAGCAGTAGTGATACCGACCACTATTATCACCACTATTTTACTACCAAGTGTATTTTATAACAATTCCCACAGGAGCAGTAGTGATACCGACCACTATTATCACCACTATTTTACTACCAAGTGTATTTTATAACAATTCCTACAGGAGCAGTAGTGATACCGACCACTATTATCACCACTATTTTACTACCAAGTGTATTTTATAACAATTCCTACAGGAGCAGTAGTGATACCGACCACTATTATCACCACTATTTTACTACCAAGTGTATTTTATAACAATTCCTACAGGAGCAGTAGTGATACCGACCACTATTATCACCACTATTTTACTACCAAGTGTATTTTATAACAATTCCTACAGGAGCAGTAGTGATACCGACCACTATTATCACCACTATTTTACTACCAAGTGTATTTTATAACAATTCCTACAGGAGCAGTAGTGATACCGACCACTATTATCACCACTATTTTACTACCAAGTGTATTTTATAACAATTCCTACAGGAGCAGTAGTGATACCGACCACTATTATCACCACTATTTTACTACCAAGTGTATTTTATAACAATTCCTACAGGAGCAGTAGTGATACCGACCACTATTATCACCACTATTTTACTACCAAGTGTATTTTATAACAATTCCTACAGGAGCAGTAGTGATACCGACCACTATTATCACCACTATTTTACTACCAAGTGTATTTTATAACAATTCCTACAGGAGCAGTAGTGATACCGACCACTATTATCACCACTATTTTACTACCAAGTGTATTTTATAACAATTCCTACAGGAGCAGTAGTGATACCGACCACTATTATCACCACTATTTTACTACCAAGTGTATTTTATAACAATTCCTACAGGAGCAGTAGTGATACCGACCACTATTATCACCACTATTTTACTACCAAGTGTATTTTATAACAATTCCTACAGGAGCAGTAGTGATACCGACCACTATTATCACCACTATTTTACTACCAAGTGTATTTTATAACAATTCCTACAGGAGCAGTAGTGATACCGACCACTATTATCACCACTATTTTACTACCAAGTGTATTTTATAACAATTCCTACAGGAGCAGTAGTGATACCGACCACTATTATCACCACTATTTTACTACCAAGTGTATTTTATAACAATTCCTACAGGAGCAGTAGTGATACCGACCACTATTATCACCACTATTTTACTACCAAGTGTATTTTATAACAATTCCTACAGGAGCAGTAGTGATACCGACCACTATTATCACCACTATTTTACTACCAAGTGTATTTTATAACAATTCCTACAGGAGCAGTAGTGATACCGACCACTATTATCACCACTATTTTACTACCAAGTGTATTTTATAACAATTCCTACAGGAGCAGTAGTGATACCGACCACTATTATCACCACTATTTTACTACCAAGTGTATTTTATAACAATTCCTACAGGAGCAGTAGTGATACCGACCACTATTATCACCACTATTTTACTACAAGTGTATTTTATAACAATTCCTACAGGAGCAGTAGTGATACCGACCACTATTATCACCACTATTTTACTACCAAGTAGTGTATTTTATAACAATTCCTACAGGAGCAGTAGTGATACCGACCACTATTATCACCACTATTTTACTACCAAGTGTATTTTATAACAATTCCTACAGGAGCAGTAGTGATACCGACCACTATTATCACCACTATTTTACTACCAAGTGTATTTTATAACAATTCCTACAGGAGCAGTAGTGATACCGACCACTATTATCACCACTATTTTACTACCAAGTGTATTTTATAACAATTCCTACAGGAGCAGTAGTGATACCGACCACTATTATCACCACTATTTTACTACCAAGTGTATTTTATAACAATTCCTACAGGAGCAGTAGTGATACCGACCACTATTATCACCACTATTTTACTACCAAGTGTATTTTATAACAATTCCTACAGGAGCAGTAGTGATACCGACCACTATTATCACCACTATTTTACTACCAAGTGTATTTTATAACAATTCCTACAGGAGCAGTAGTGATACCGACCACTATTATCACCACTATTTTACTACCAAGTGTATTTTATAACAATTCCTACAGGAGCAGTAGTGATACCGACCACTATTATCTCCACTATTTTACTACCAAGTGTATTTTATAACAATTCCTACAGGAGCAGTAGTGATACCGACCACTATTATCACCACTATTTTACTACCAAGTGTATTTTATAACAATTCCTACAGGAGCAGTAGTGATACCGACCACTATTATCACCACTATTTTACTACCAAGTGTATTTTATAACAATTCCTACAGGAGCAGTAGTGATACCGACCACTATTATCACCACTATTTTACTACCAAGTGTATTTTATAACAATTCCTACAGGAGCAGTAGTGATACCGACCACTATTATCACCACTATTTTACTACCAAGTGTATTTTATAACAATTCCTACAGGAGCAGTAGTGATACCGACCACTATTATCACCACTATTTTACTACCAAGTGTATTTTATAACAATTCCTACAGGAGCAGTAGTGATACCGACCACTATTATCACCACTATTTTACTACCAAGTGTATTTTATAACAATTCCTACAGGAGCAGTAGTGATACCGACCACTATTATCACCACTATTTTACTACCAAGTGTATTTTATAACAATTCCTACAGGAGCAGTAGTGATACCGACCACTATTATCACCACTATTAGCGGACCAAGTGTATTTTATAACAATTCCTACAGGAGCAGTAGTGATACCGACCACTATTATCACCACTATTTTACTACCAAGTGTATTTTATAACAATTCCTACAGGAGCAGTAGTGATACCGACCACTATTATCACCACTATTTTACTACCAAGTGTATTTTATAACAATTCCTACAGGAGCAGTAGTGATACCGACCACTATTATCACCACTATTTTACTACCAAGTGTATTTTATAACAATTCCTACAGGAGCAGTAGTGATACCGACCACTATTATCACCACTATTTTACTACCAAGTGTATTTTATAACAATTCCTACAGGAGCAGTAGTGATACCGACCACTATTATCACCACTATTTACTACCAAGTGTATTTTATAACAATTCCTACAGGAGCAGTAGTGATACCGACCACTATTATCACCACTATTTTACTACCAAGTGTATTTTATAACAATTCCTACAGGAGCAGTAGTGATACCGACCACTATTATCACCACTATAGCGACCAAGTGTATTTTATAACAATTCCTACAGGAGCAGTAGTGATACCGACCACTATTATCACCACTATTTACTACCAAGTGTATTTTATAACAATTCCTACAGGAGCAGTAGTGATACCGACCACTATTATCACCACTATTTTACTACCAAGTGTATTTTATAACAATTCCTACAGGAGCAGTAGTGATACCGACCACTATTATCACCACTATTTTACTACCAAGTGTATTTTATAACAATTCCTACAGGAGCAGTAGTGATACCGACCACTATTATCACCACTATTAGCGACAAGTGTATTTTATAACAATTCCTACAGGAGCAGTAGTGATACCGACCACTATTATCACCACTATTTTACTACCAAGTGTATTTTATAACAATTCCTACAGGAGCAGTAGTGATACCGACCACTATTATCACCACTATTTTACTACCAAGTGTATTTTATAACAATTCCTACAGGAGCAGTAGTGATACCGACCACTATTATCACCACTATTTTACTACCAAGTGTATTTTATAACAATTCCTACAGGAGCAGTAGTGATACCGACCACTATTATCACCACTATTTTACTACCAAGTGTATTTTATAACAATTCCTACAGGAGCAGTAGTGATACCGACCACTATTATCACCACTATTTTACTACCAAGTGTATTTTATAACAATTCCTACAGGAGCAGTAGTGATACCGACCACTATTATCACCACTATTTTACTACCAAGTGTATTTTATAACAATTCCTACAGGAGCAGTAGTGATACCGACCACTATTATCACCACTATTTTACTACCAAGTGTATTTTATAACAATTCCTACAGGAGCAGTAGTGATACCGACCACTATTATCACCACTATTTTACTACCGAGTGTATTTTATAACAATTCCTACAGGAGCAGTAGTGATACCGACCACTATTATCACCACTATTTTACTACCAAGTGTATTTTATAACAATTCCTACAGGAGCAGTAGTGATACCGACCACTATTATCACCACTATTTTACTACCAAGTGTATTTTATAACAATTCCTACAGGAGCAGTAGTGATACCGACCACTATTATCACCACTATTTTACTAGTGTATTTTATAACAATTCCTACAGGAGCAGTAGTGATACCGACCACTATTATCACCACTATTTTACTACCAAGTGTATTTTATAACAATTCCTACAGGAGCAGTAGTGATACCGACCACTATTATCACCACTATAGCGGACAAGTGTATTTTATAACAATTCCTACAGGAGCAGTAGTGATACCGACCACTATTATCACCACTATTTTACTACCAAGTGTATTTTATAACAATTCCTACAGGAGCAGTAGTGATACCGACCACTATTATCACCACTATTTTACTAGTGTATTTTATAACAATTCCTACAGGAGCAGTAGTGATACCGACCACTATTATCACCACTATTTTACTACCAAGTGTATTTTATAACAATTCCTACAGGAGCAGTAGTGATACCGACCACTATTATCACCACTATTTTACTACCAAGTAGTGTATTTTATAACAATTCCTACAGGAGCAGTAGTGATACCGACCACTATTATCACCACTATTTTACTACCAAGTGTATTTTATAACAATTCCTACAGGAGCAGTAGTGATACCGACCACTATTATCACCACTATTTTACTACCAAGTGTATTTTATAACAATTCCTACAGGAGCAGTAGTGATACCGACCACTATTATCACCACTATTGCGGACAAGTGGCTTGCAGGGGACGTGGTATGTGACCTGAGCGCGTTTGTTGACAATGTCACTCTGACTATGAGCATGTGGAGTCTGGGACTCTTATCTATTGAGAGGTAAGTGGGGTAAGTGGGGGTAAGTGGGGGGCCTAAGTGGGGCCCTAAGTGCTGGAGACTTATTTCATTGAAAGGGAGGTGACCACTTGATGTCCATGACTCCATTAGCTTGGCTCAACATTAGATATATATACATATAGTATGAAATGCAGTATGAAATGTCTGATAGTCTGGCCATACTCCGTATCCTTGACTTCCAGTTATAATAAACAATCTAAGGAATGTAGGGAAAATTCTGCCTTAAGAAGTACACTTGAACTCCAGATGTGTTACAGGAGTTGCCATCATTACTGTTTGAGTAATTGAGAACCTGTTGACATACTCACCAGCTGTCCTACCTTGCCCGTACCACCGTCCACCGTCTATAATAATAATACTGAAGTTTGGTCGGCCCTTAAAAGTAGAATAAAATAATTTCCCATGAACATTTTTCATCACTTTTGGCCGGTATTTTTGTAATTTTGTAACTTCAAAAATAGTTGATGGTAGTTAGTTGGAACTCGTGTGATATTTTGAAAATTAGTCTGTCTCATCTCCCTGAAATGTGGTGGAATTAATCTGTTGATATGGACTGTGTTTAATCAAAACATGGACTATATTATACCATACTCCTCTATCAATCCAATCTTTACCGCTCAGGCTTATAGAACTATGTGAGGTTCTCTCACTTCAAATCAGACACTAAAATATAAACAGTAAGGATCACAAGCCCCTCCCTTCTTTGACCAGCTGTCACAACAATGATCTGCTCGGTCACGTGATCAGGCTGACTGGTCACGTGGTCAGGCTGACTGGTCACGTGGTCAGGCTGACTGGTCACGTGGTCAGGCTGACTGGTCACGTGATCAGGCTGACTGGTCACGTGGTCAGGCTGACTGGTCACGTGATCAGGCTGACTGGTCACGTGGTCAGGCTGACTGGTCACGTGGTCAGGCTGACTGGTCACGTGGTCAGGCTGACTGGTCACGTGATCAGGCTGACTGGTCACGTGGTCAGGCTGACTGGTCACGTGATCAGGCTGACTGGTCACGTGATCAGGCTGACTGGTCACGTGGTCAGGCTGACTGGTCACGTGGTCAGGCTGACTGGTCACGTGATCAGGCTGACTGGTCACGTGATCAGGCTGACTGGTCACGTGGTCAGGCTGACTGGTCACGTGATCAGGCTGACTGGTCACGTGATCACGCTGAATGGTCACGTGGTCAGGATCAGGCTGACTGGTCACGTGACCAGGCTGACTGGTCACGTGATCACGCTGAATGGTCACGTGGTCAGGATCAGGCTGACTGGTCACGTGATCAGGCTGACTGGTCACGTGATCAGGCTGACTGGTCACGTGATCAGGCTGACTGGTCACGTGGTCAGGCTGACTGGTCACGTGTCAGGCTGACTGGTCACGGGTCAGGCTGACTGGTCACGTGGTCAGGCTGACTGGTCACGTGGTCAGGCTGACTGGTCACGTGGTCAGGCTGACTGGTCACGTGGTCAGGCTGATAACGTGACCAGCTTGTTCACATCCTCAATCCCACCAACTGACACCAGCCTTGTCTAGAAATATCAGGATAATAATACTCTGTAAAACTTATTGTAATATAAATGTAACCATTACTTTGACAAGTGTTTAACTCTCCCTCCACCTGCTGGACCGACCGGTTATAATGATCTGCAAAACAAGCCTCTTTTATAACACGCTGCCTATTATAAAGTATTATATCTCAACTTATGCCAGAATAACGGCTCCCCGGCCTGGGTAACAGTTAGTACACTAGTAACACTAGTTACACTACAGTCACTGTGCAGTAGTGAGGGTATTACTGCGTGTTAATATGTGAACATGTCTGATAAGTGTTTGTACCTGGGTATTATGTGATTATAATGAGTTGGCATTCTTCCAAGTTGTATAAATGATGGATATTTGTATAATATAATGACCTGTGGTCCAGGATCCCCAATGGTTGGTCTCTATGGCCTCCTCGTCTTACTTCATAGCCTTATTTCCATATCTTAATGAATAGTGACGCCATGATGCCCCAAATGTGTAACATTGCGCAAAACCAGTTGTTATTTGGGCCAATATCGAGCAAGATGGTAGTTAAAGTACCGTCACATTGAGCCTACAACGTCATAGCACAGGAGGAGTGATTAGTTTGGGGTTTAATAGATTGGAAGTGATGAAATGCCACGTGATATGCTAAAAAGTGCAGCAAATGCTCATCATCCTCTACACAAATATGGTATAACTGTTATAACTAGACTATCTTCAACAATAGCTGGGATTCAATAGCTGTTGGAATCCTTAAAAATAGTGACTAAGTTCACAAACCAAATGTTTATTGGACTTAAGTTAACATTGATATAAGATCCGGATCTTCAATATTTGAGCCCATCTTTTGGTCTAGTCGGCACAAAATTGTTCTTTCAAAAATTCCAACAGCATTTTAAGGGCGTATCGAATAACATTTGAAATGTTTCGTCTCGGGGAGTTGTCCATACGATAATAGTATCGTATGGTAGGATTTTATTGAAAGCCATATCATTAATATAGATTGTAACCAAGTCTTGTAAATTTATATTTTATAACCCTATTAGACATTTTCATAACTCCTTAAAACTGTTAATCTAGAATAGACAATGGTATTTATTGCAAACATTCTTCTAGATCGATAGGCGATCTGCAAGATAGTAGTATTGAATACACGCTCATTTTATACAATTAATTCCATCATGTGCGAAAATAAAACACATTATGTGTATTATTATATAATATGTGAATACTTCTTCATTAGCCAAGTTTAATCCAGTATTGCACAGATAGAATAGTATACCTCAACCCTTTAATCCAGTATTGCTCAGATAGAATAGTACCTATACCGGGGGGGGGGGGGGGGGGGGCCAATGACTACTTTTGGGGACTTGGGGAATTACGTCAACGATTTTACCCCGAGTCCCCATGATTTTTAGTCCCCATTAGTCCCCAAAAGTCTCCATTAGTCCCCATTTAGATGATTTTTAGTCCCCATTAGTCCCCAAAAGTCTCCATTAGTCCCCATTTAGATTTATCCTACTCTTATCTTGGACAAAACATCTCGATCGTATCGTTATTAAACTAACTTGAAAACCATAAATAACTGTCAAAAATTCTGGGGACTTATGGGGACAAATGAAATTAGTAGTAGGACCACTTTTGATCCTGGTGGAACCCAGAGCACACTTCGCAACGCCACTCCAAGTAGTATTTACCTAAAGCCAGTCACTGCCACAGAAATTGAGGACGTCATAAACCTGCTTAAGAATAAAGCCACACTAGACACTAAAATTGAACCTCTAAAAATCGCTAACAGTTGTCCCAGTTTTACTAGTGTACTAGCCCACGTTGTCAACAGTTCTTTTGAACAGGGGATCTTTCCACAGGCTTTGAAAGAAGCGAAGGTGGTCCCAATTCACAAAGGTGGATCTAAATCTGACATAAAAAATTACAGACCAATATCTCTTCTTGCTTCATTCTCTAAAGTATTTGAAAAGCTAATGCATAACCGAGTTTTAAGTTTTTTAGATAAATACAGCATACTATGTGAAAACCAATACGGTTTTCGCCCGGGTAGGTCTTGTGAACATGCTCTTCTCAACGCAAAAGACACCATTCTTAATTCAATGTCTAAAAAGCAGGTAACTTTACTTCTTTTAATCGACTTCAGCAAAGCTTTCGACCTTGTGGATCATTCCATACTCTTGCGCAAGCTGGACCATTACGGCATAAGAGGTCAAGCCTTAAACTGGTTCAAGTCATATCTCACTAACAGGAAACAGTTTGTATCAATTGGCTCGTCAAAATCTTCAACCAACCAAATTTTATACGGCGTGCCTCAAGGGTCAATATTAGGACCTTTACTCTTTATAATCTACATAAACGACCTGCCTCAAATATCAGATATAGCCAATTTCATTATGTACGCAGATGATGCCAACATCTTCCTGATAGGAGAAAATCTTAATGAAGTTTACGATAAACTAATAACTCTTAGCGATGCTTTAGTTAAGTGGGTAGATAATAATGGTTTAGCTCTCAACCTTAAGAAAACAAATTATATGATCTTCTCTCGACAAAGGAATCTTAATTATCGTGATGTGACAATTTCTGGTGTCACAATTGAGAGAAAAACAGAAGCCCGTTTTTTAGGAGTTATAATAGATGATAAACTAAACTGGTCCTATCATATCTCTGCCATGAAAATGAAAATGTCCAGATACATAGGAGTCATGTACAAACTTAAAAAATATCTGCCTCTCGAAGCACGTCTTCAAATTTATCAAAGTTTTGTGCAGTCACACCTTAATTATTGCAGCCTTGTATGGGGTTTTGCTGCTAAGTCTCATATTGAATCACTTTTTGTAAAACAGAAAATGGGCCTTCGTGCAGTATTACCTGGTTTCGTCAATTACTGGTACAAGGACGGTATCCCCCCAGCAAGTACTAAGTCTGGCTTTTATTTACATAAAATATTGACAGTACACAGTATCATTGTAAAGAACGCACTCATTTTAATGCATAAATTGAAAAACTTTCCTAATCTAGTACCATTGTCTCTCAAGAAAACAATTCCCAAAAGCGCACCATTATTTAATACTAACACGGATTCTATTCTCACTACACAATGGTCAGAAAAGTATGGTCAACACCCCTACAACAACTCAGTATTTTTTAAAGGTCCATTATTAGCAATAAACCGATATAATGTTGCAGCAACTTCCCCGCCTAGTCTATTTAACCTGAACATTTACAAAACTTGTATAAAAACTATGCTCATCGATCAGCAAAATGAAAACATCGAAGACGAATGGCCTAATTTCATGTTATTTTGTATAACAGGACTAAGAAAATCAAAGCGTAACATAAACCAAAATGCCGATAATAACCTTGTCTCTACATCTTAGATTATATGCACACACTTATGCATCACTCAATAAACGTCGCATATCTCATCATTTACACTGCCAACATTGGACATTATTTTTTATCGCCGCGTATTTCAAATCAAGTTACAAATTCTACAAATTTTGAAGTGCTCAGTCTTGTTTTACTGTTTTTAATCTTTACCTATTAACCATTAGAAAATTAAACTTTAAGTTATAAACCTTCATTGCATACTTTACCGGTAGAGTCTAAATTGAATAGTTTGAGATTTCCTTAACATTTTGTATTTATGCATGTGCCCCACGGGGATGATTTTCTTATTACCATTGATATTATATATATTTTTTGAGTAAACATTGGCTGGTACCACGGGCCAGTCCCCAACAAAAAAAAAAAAAGTGAATTACGTCAACGAGTTGACCTCTAGTCCCCATGATTTTTAGTCCCCATTAGTCCCCAAAAGTCTCCATTGGTAGTCATTGGCCCCCCCCCCCTATACCTCAACCCTTTGTCTACTTTGAGTTCAACTAAAATAAGAGTGAAGACTATTAGCAGAGTGAACAATAAGTGATTGAAGTTAAATAAATTACGGAATTTACCCCATACAGTTTTATAGTGTCTGACTATAATATTTGTTCCTGTTTAAGTAAACCTATTTAGGGTGAAATGATTTGTCTAATGTTGGCTAACCTACAAATATTTACCCCCCTAAATTAGTAAATTATAAGTAAAGTTTATGTAATAAGTTCCTCCCCAAATCACTAATGTAATAAGTTAAGAAGCCCGCACAATTTGGAGGAAGTAGTTCTGTAGAATATATATGCGAATATATAATCTAATAACTGATAAATGATATTCCGCACAAAGCATGAAATTGTGCTGTATATGAGTGGTGATTTCGCTCCGAAAATCAGGAACAGTAGCTCAATAGGTAGAGCAAGGCACGCGATATGTCGAGGTTCTGGGATCATTCCTCAGTTGTTCCCAGTTTTTCAGAGTTAATCATCACCTATAGACAGCATGAGAGTCCTGCCATCTCGAAGTGATAAGTTCTGTAGATCTGTAATATAATAATATGGGTATCAGAGTACAGCTCTGCGAGCTCAGTAACCATACTTACGGGCGTTCTTAAGGCACATCAGAGGAGAGTGCAGCTCAATGAATTGTAAATATTGACGGTCTATTATCCTTAAATCAGTAACTGGATCATTCATTATTGTAAAGCTCTCAATCGCACTAAATCGTGTGAATCTTTTGCTGCACGTCGATATTACGATTAATAATTTGGTAACAATTCAACAACAATAGAAACCTTGTAAATGCAACCACTACAGACCAGTACAGACCGATTACCATTAAAATTGTGAAAGTTTCCCAAACATTTGGTTCGCTTTTATCAAATTATGGGAATTATCCTGATTAATGTACTGACGGTTTTATCAAACCAGCGTTATTTAACTCCACCATATCCTCACTAGATGAGTGCTTCTATCACGTGACCTCACTTTAACTAACGACTTATAATGCACAATTAACACAACAATTAAAGCCTCTCAATCCTCTCCAGTCCTGTGATCAGATTACAGAGCCTGTTCTGTAGGTGAGAATCGCCCTAAATTACATGAACACCGCTTCATTATCCAGCTTCAGCTTTAATTCCATTACTCATGCTAAAGGGAACGTTTATAAATGGATCACGTTGCACCGCTATTCGGCACACCAGTGGTATTGTGGTAAACTCATGGTATATATACTATATAGTTGCTCTGTTTCTGTCATGACATTTACACGAGCAGTAGGCTATTTAGTGAGGGACAGGGTCTGGTCTGTATTTCTCATCGTCCACGAAGCCAAAGACAATCTGAGAATTAACCACTGCTAAAACAGACTGGATAGATAAAAGCATCATTAGACTCTGGACCATAATCCGACTTGGTTTCGTTTATTATGATTGGTTTATTTGACATATTATGTCATGGGGTATATCTAAACTGCTTAATGAAGTTCTGGCTTCATCTAGCAAACACTGCTTCTAGCAAACACTGCTTCGCTGGTTGTCACAACGGACATATTGAACAAACAGATAGACCGTAGAATCTAAATACTAAAATACGTTTTCTAAAATCTCTCACATTTCAAATCTTGATTTTAACCTTCATAAATCTTCAGATTCTTTCTCATGGTCTTCCCATTCCGATACCACACCTTCATTTCTACCAAAACTGCTACTGTAAGTATTCACTATTATGCATGTGTTCACTATTATGTATGTGTTTAAAATAATACAGCAATTTTCGAATTCCCACCATATTAACATTTTAAAAACAATGACGGTTTAAAAACATACCGAATATTTTTAGCTTGCTTCATGAATATCTTCGTGAATATCGCCAGCTTTTTTAGTTATTGAATTTTAGTATCACAAGATGAATCAGTGATAAGAACTACAAATCTCTCCCTCAGTGGTTGATATGGGTGTCGTGGTTTGTGGTGGCTATTATCTGCCTGTGTCCAATGCTAGGTTGGGGGGAGTACGGTTATACTGACACCTACTCTTGTGGGCTTGTTCCTGTTAATACCACGTTAGTTTTAAATTTATCATTTGGTTTAACGGGATTTAGAGCAGAACAAGTTTATCTGGTTTTGTAAATAGAATATTTCTCAGGAATCGGCGTTAAATTTCTCTGGGTTTAGTATTTAAAACTTTGCTTATTCAGTTGCGGTTTAGTTATTGAAGGACAATAACTGGACAATAAAGTTTCCCAATAAGAGCCGGCAAAATAACTCTGGTCGCTGTTGAGATAACCCGGAAATGGGAATGTATCGTGACTGAATAAGAAACTTTCATCTTGTAATAGTCATGACAAGCGGTAGATTGTTTATTCAAGTTGTCTCTGCCAATTTCCAAATCTGATTAGACTGCATGGACCTATTCTATAAAAACTTATATTATGAAGAATTTGAAGGAGTAAGATTATTAAAATTTATAAATTTGTTAAAACTATCGTGAACAGTGGCACAGCAGAGATACGTGGAACGCGCGACATTAGCGTATTAATGATCAAAGGACCACAAAAAATATTTACTGTGACAGAAACTTACGCGCGGCGTGGGAATATTTCCTCTGATTTATATATCGCCATTCGATCGCCCAAAAAACTTTAAAACTATAAACTATGGATGACCTGTATAGTATAATTTCTAATCATGTCCTGATTAATTTAAATATTTTTCAGGAGCGTTGGCAGCTACTACTTTCCATTTTTCTGCGTCTCCGCTTTCCTGCCGCCCATCACAGTTGGAACCTGCAGCTACATGGCTATCCTGTGCGTGCTGCACGAACAGCGTGCTCCCAAGGTGTACTCCGTGGGAGCTGAGAATGAGAGGGTAAAGAGGACTGATATGGAGAAACAGGAGAACATTGTAGCTTGTCTCTCTGTGTTTATTTGTTTGTTGATGATGATCGCGTTTAATCTCCCGACTGTAGTTATAGGACTGTGCTATTGGGCACAAATGCAGATTACTCTTCCTGGAGAACTCATGCTCTTCTTCCATATTGTTTGGTACGCTAAGTCAGCTGCTAACCCACTTGTGTTTGGACTGCTAAACAAGAACTTTAGGCTCGAAATTAAGAAGTACAGGCTTTTCCGACTGTGCTTTGGTAAAAATGGGGCCGCAGAGCAAGACACTAGATCTTCTATGAACACACGATGGCCTAAATCAGGGAATAACTTGTAGTAGAGATCTACAATCCTTAGAGGGCAGTTGCAGTGATCCTTCATTCATACTGAGTTTTTATTTTACGCCGTTTTAAATACATAATGCGAATAGCTCCATCAATCAATGCTATCAACAATTTCAAGTGTTAGTTGTTTGAATATAACATAATAGTATATGAATATAACTTTACAACAATGTTTAAAGATGAAAGGACAATAAATTGTTATGCCGCGCCCGCCCTTTTGGTCTGCAAACCAAACGGGTAATTAATTAACGTTGAAATGTTAAAGTTATGTTAATTTTTATACGTTATGTAAGTTTAAAATGTTGCATGTAAAATAATCCAAATTGACTGTACAATAAGATGATATTTTTATTTGAAGAGATAGTTTAATTAGTGAATCCTAGCCAGGACCCTTCTGTAGTTTTTGTTTATTTTACAAGTTTTAGCTATTTAATCGTTAATAGTCTGTATGAACAGAATAAAATTTTGTTTTGATTTAATTTTCCAGTTTTTCTTTATTATCAAAAGTTGATCTTTTCCGTCTACGATGTCGTCTATGTCGTTGTTCTGCTGTTTCAAAAGGGTACTTGGTCGTATGGTGTGAGTGTGCCACATCTAAACTGAGATACCCCTGAAATAATTAAACTTTGTTATCTCCTCAAATTTACTGTTTATATGTAAATAATACAGTTGAAATGTGTATGTAAGTATTAAAGTTCAAAGCAATAGGATTCAGCTGAGTTGACTTCTAAACCTGTTTGTTTTTAATGAAATGGTCGATGTTAAGCAGGTTCATCCGACGAGCTGTCTCGATAGTATCCACTCCCGTGTAGTCAGTCATTAGCAGGTTTATAGTTCTGTTACTGAAATGCTATAAGTTAAAAAGTGAACAGTTACTGTACTTCTACTTATTACAAACAAATCAGTTTCCTGTCAAACAACTTCCCACAAAGACTTACAAGTTGCTCTGTAAGTACTGAGTTAGCTGGATATTATCCCCGACAGTTTCTCGACACTTCTCCGCAGCATCCGTTAAACATATCCCCATTTCTGCGCCTGGTTCATACCAATCTGAAACAGACTTGTAATCGTAGAGATCGTGTGAACTAATCATTGCTCCCCCCCACCATCATGATTTCTTATCTAAGATACTTCACCAAACATCTTGCATCATAATCTTGGCTTTGGAATCAAAAAACAAACCTAACAATATAAGGAATACGTCTCTTGTCAAAAGCGTTAATGATTGAACCTGATATGATGGGTAACCAAGTGTAGTTCCGCATGAGTTCCTGATTGTAAGACTCGTTGAAGTACTCCAGAGCACCTGGCTTCAAGTCACATGTCAGGTGGATACCGTGACGCAACTGCCACCAAGTTGCCAGATGTTTGTGTGGCCGGATAAACTTCCTTATCTTCCTGTTTTAGAAAGTGTTCAATAGGTCATTTCAAAGTATTATGTATTATAGTTCTGAGTTTTAGTGTTTAAATTAGATATTTTAGATGTAATTTCTGGTGGAGAGGTGAGGTATTTTTTTGACACGTGACCGAAATTAATCAGCTTCGACTATAACTGACGAATCAAACCCAAAATCACTGTCATGCGTAAAAAAACACCTCACCTCCCCACCAGAATCCACATCAAAAGTATAAAGAATTACAAATTCTTTCAATTGTACAAACCGTAACGTGTATTTGACCCTCTTGATGTCGAGCCAGAGGTCAGTGTTGATATACAAGAAAACATTTCGTTTCATGACCAGGGAGGCCACCACCAGTGGATCAGTGTGGTAGTTCAGTCTCCTGATATGACATTCACTTATTGAATAATTGCGTAAAAACGTCAAGAATTTCACTCAAAATTCCTATTTCAATTTTCCACTTGCAATAATGGTTGATTAGTCACCAACCTGATCCCGATAGTATCTCTGACCAGCTCTAGTATAGCCTGAGTCAGCAGCATTCTCTGTGTCTCATTGTCGACCTTGTAGTCCACTATCCGTATCATCAGGATTTCGTGCTGGTTCTTTTTAAGAAACCTGGGAATAAAGAGTGGACTTGAACAATTGTTGGCCGGGGATGAAGCTATTTTCTAATTCGATTTATTCAACAGCTAAACTGTTTTACAGTTATTTTGCAGCAGTTATCACTTGGCAATTCACCTTAATAATAATAATTTGGTCGACCGCAGTCGGGGAGCCGATTTCCCTGTCTAATTGCATTTCGGCCACGGTCCTTTCGGTAGAGATTTCCCTGCAGTATAGTCGGGACGCAACCCCAGGCATATACACTCGTGTTATTTTCGCAGCTCTAATGAGAGCCACTACCATTTACACCATGGTTTGGTGACTGACGGCTGCCCTTCAGTTTTTGAGATTTTGGCCCAACTGGGATTCGAACTCGCAACGTCCAGGCCAGTAGACAGGCGGATTAACCGACTGAGCCACTGAATTCACCTTAATCGTTGTCAAATGACCAAAAATGCCCACCAGTTTTCAGACCATACCATAACTGGGTAATTGATAAATTAATCATCTTATAAATTCATAAACACAGATAGAAGCTGCAGCGGAATGCAAATGATGCAAAATGATACCGAGAATGAAATCGGTCGGTCGCTTTTCATTGGGGGTGGGGGTGTTGGTGGGGCCGGGGGTGGGGGTCAACCTGAATTTTAAGTGAAACTTGTTTCCGTAAAGTATGTATGTTCCACTGCACTATACTTGAGTGGAATGATATAGAATAACACCCAACAAAAATACTGAATGTTATATTCATAATTGAAACCGGAACAATCAGGCCAGAGCCTGGATATATAAATATATAATATATATATTATATATAGCCTCTAATAGTTCAGTAAGAAGTTAAACTTTCCACCTAACATTTATTTTTAGTTGGCATAAACAGAAACTTAGAGTTCGACAGGAAATTCATTGTCTCGGAAGCGTATGTCAATCATATTAGAATACACTAATCTCCTTAATTTGTTAGTATATCATCACGTGATAAAATCAAGACTTTATAATAAAGAAAATATTTATCTCAAACTTAGTTCCCGTGCGCTAATGTTTTAACTTGATTGAACATCTGTTTATAAAAGTTTGCTTTTATAAACAAAGTTGCTAGCCACAGTTTCTATTCTGAATCACTATTCCCACTGTAACAATATTATTTAGATATGATGGTGTCCCGCTTAATGGTGCTTGTTGTGCTGTCTGTAATCTTTACAACAGTTCACTCAAATGAGCCAGCTTTGCAATTCGGAGCAAACAACAACAGTTTCGTCCTGCTGATGCCCGACTTGACACCAGCCCGAGATGAAGTAACCGTCTGCTCCTGGGTAAAAAGAATGAGTAATCATCGAGGCAGCTGGCAATTTTGGTTGAGTTTCGCTACCAGGCAAAATGCATACGAGCTCAACTTATCAGATGTAGGGAATTTGTATTTCCTCCAGGACCTGACCTACAATACTTTGCCAAATGAAACTCTTAAAACAGTTGATGAGTGGCATCACATTTGTGCGACGTGGGGATCCTCCAACCACACGACATTCATTTACTTTGACGGGGAACTGGCTGGGACGAAAAGTACGTGGCCTAACAGGAAACTGATAAACCCAGGGAGTCTGATGCTGGGTCAGTTCCATTCCGGTTTCGGGGGAGGGAGGATCGAAGAGAACGGCTACTTCGGGGGACAGCTCTATGACTTGAATATCTACAGCCAGCAACTAAATGGTGTGCAGATAAAAGAAATGTTTGACCAGAGCCGTTGTTCTTCAAACAGGCAGGCATTTGGAAAGGAAAGGTTTATTCGATGGGAAGAAATTCTAAAGGAAGAGAGGCACGGTAATGTCACTGAGGTACTTCTTGACTGTCCCAGCGGCTGGGACGTTTTGTACAAAGATGAGTTCTACAACAAGGAAATCACCGAGAATCTTATCGAGGACCTGGAGACGCTAAAAGATCTTTTACAAGAATTCGAGGGTCATAAAATCGATCAAAAGTTGATAGAGCATATGAAAAGGCACCACGAAATTTAGCTCGGCAATTGCTCTATTGGGATGAAAAATGTAGTTGATCATAGTTTGAGATTCATTTTACTTTAAAAACATTGTTTTACTAGTTTATCATATAAATTTACGTTAAACTTGAAATACAAATGATCTCGGCAGAATTTTATGCATTCTAATTTCTAACGGGCAAATATACTCACAGAACACCAACTCTGACATAATATGATGGGGATGCATGCGAAGCCGTACAGATGGTTTCCAGATCGTGAGGAAGTATGTTCTATGAATCAGTCTGATAGGAAGCAGAAAAATAAACACTCAGACTGCAAAATAAACAAACAAACAAATTAGACCACTCACTGTTGGTCATGATCTAATTTATAACTGTCGATTTTTGCTTGGAACGGCCATTAAAGCATTAAATACTGTTGGATACTAGAATACTGTGTTTGAAGTTTATTTATCCTTAATATTCCTTTTCGTTTGTGTAACCCTCTAGTTCCATGGCAAATTAATTGAGCTAAAAAATCGTGAACGTGCTCACGTATTAAATTTTTCTCACTCAAATAATATACTCGTTGCGGTCGTTATCGATATTATAATTGCATTTTGTTATCCCGCACCCAAGACCAAGTTTCTGTTAGTATTTGTGTATCCTAATTAAAACTAGAGTGGCTGCAGTCCTGATCCTGCCCGACACCACCAATACGTGTATAGATTACGGTGTGCAAATTATTTGCCCATGGCCATGTTAGCGAGTCACCCGTATAATTTTATTTCGCAAATAAAATGTGTGCAAATTTTTATTTGCCCATGGGACTCAGTGATTAAGGGATAAAGGGTCAGTGATTTTTCCGATCTCCTCGACGAGTAGTAGCAGCCGATAGTTTTTTAATTTCTTGTTAAAAACCGACTCTTTTGATCATGTGACTGATTCTTCTTGGTGGTTTTATTCGTATCAACTTACACTTACAATACCATTTTGTCGATACCGAATCCTCGGACCATATTATATTGGATCCTCGCCACTGATATACTTCAACTCGGATCGTTCATATATTATGTAAGCCTCCGTAATCCCCTTTTCAAGTATTACTATTGTGCAGAAACTATACTTACTATACAGTTAACCTATCCAAACTACTTTACCCTAGGTACTAGGTAGGCTTAAATGGTAGGTGGACGATCACCAAGTGTCGGACCCAAATATTTTGTGAATCCACTAAAAGTACTTATACGAACAAAAAATTGTCTACAGATTCCATTATTTGACACTATTTCCGAGGAATTTCTAACAATTATTGTTTAGAGCTCAATTTAAACCCATTCACTCAGTTATAGGATAGATAGCAACAACAGCCTGTGAAAAAGTCTGACGAAACGAAGCTAACCATGAAATCTTCCTCCGGATCTTCCTCCGGATCCCACTCGTGGACCAAGCAAGACTACATCCTCGTGTCCCTGGCGATACTGATAAAGATTGGGGACGGAGTTGAGGCTTACCTCCCTGGGGTCATCACACAGAAGGTGTCCTGTGAACTCGGTCTATCGGACTTTCAAGAGGGACTCCTAGCAGTCATTGTTTACTTGTTCTGGGCAATCGCAGTCATGATGTCAGTTTTTATTTCGAAAATGTTGGGAGAAAGATTTACACTGCTTTTGTCACTCTATCTGTCCATTGGGTTCGCTATCCTGTGTGCGGTGGTTCCTAATTATTATACCCTTCTTCTCTCCAGAGCCTTAACCGGTATCTGCGTTGGATTGAACAGTTGTGCAACTGGGATATTACTCGCCAAGCTCGTTTCCTTCAAAGAAGTCCTCACTCGAAGCGCTTTTCTTTCAGAAGCTCTTGGTTTTGCAGTCGGAGGAACTTGGGTTTCCATTTTGGGATGGCTGATTCTAGACCTGGTAAGCTGGAGAGTTTTCGTTCTGCTGACTTCCATTCCACTATTTGTTCCTCCAATCATCATGCTCCACTTTTGCATCGGTAAAGAAACAGAAGAAGCCACACAAGGAGACAGTGAGCTGGAGGCTGAGAACAATGTTGCCCCGACTGAAAGTGACAGCCTTATAGTTACTGGTAACCTTATAGTCTACAAGAATTCTCAAAGTGTACCCAATTTCACTGCACGGGTTATCAAATCAAGCCTGTTCTTCTTCTGCAACCTATGCGTTGGATATGGAAGCATTATTCTTCTTCCATGGCTAATGAGAAACTACAAGAGAGGTCTTGACGATGGTCATGAAGGTGGTAAGTGTGAGGAAGTGGTGCAAGGTACTGATTTCCTGATTCTGGCAGCAGTAACTGGTGCTACAAACCTCATCGGGCGACCATTGGGATACTATCTGTGGAGTCGCGTAAAGTTTCTGATCCTCCAATTCACCATCACAGCCATAATGGCTCTGAGTTTCGGTATTATTGTGGCAAATCCTGGTATTACAGCTTCGGTCATTTTAATAGGCGTGGCAAAGATGTGTTATTCCATACAGTCAGTTGAAAATGCTATTCTATTATACGATTATGATTACTTTGGGAAGTTGCGATTTGAGTTGGGGAGTAGCATTTCCATCGCGTCAGGAATGTTTGGAAGCATGTTAGGCACCTCTCTAGCTGCATTCCTACATCCTTTCACCGCAGTTGTAACCACCTTAGTGATAGTGTGTGTCGAGCTCGTTGTCATCTGCTTCATGAAGGAACGATTTTGATAATTTTTAGGACTGATCGCTTGTAATACTTGACTAATATCTATAAATTGACGTTTTCACTCGAACTTTAATATTATTTTAAAAGTAATTAAAAGAGCCCCAAACAGACCAGCTTGCATCGATATGTGTTATACTTATATATCCCCTATAATTATATCCGGAAACTTAAAATGGGACAGAGAATGGGATAATATGATTTTTAAATTTTCTCCGGGATTTAATTCCAGTACCTCAATTTAGTTTCATGTCATTATCGATTAACTGACTAATTGGTTTCTGGGCAAGATCCATCCAATCTGTCAAATTTTTGTCCAGGAATTTTCAAATTGGAAATGGGACAGAAATTGGGAAATATGAATTTTCGTTTTGTTAAGCTTTCTGCTGTGAGCTTCCTCCGACCGAAATCAAACTTTCAGCACCTCAATCGTGTCACATACAATCTATAGTCGGGTTAATAATTGGTTGTGGGTCAGAAATTCGGTTAAAACTGTAAAATTTCGGCCCTGGAAATTTCAGCTTCAAAAACTGAAAATGGGACAGAGTATGGGACAATATGATTTTCTAATATTTTCGAGATTTTGACTTCCAGTACCTCAATTTGGTTTCATACCATCATCAATTAACTTACTAATTGGTTTGTGGGCAAAAACGTCAGCCAATCTGTCAAATGTGTGTTCAGAAATTTTCATATCTGAAAATGGGACAGAGTTTTGAAAATACAACTTTTCGTTTTGTTAAGATTTCTGCTGTGAGCTTCCTCCGACCGAAATAAAACTTCCTTCAATTGTGTCATATGCCATCTTTAGTTGACTGACTAATTGGTTGCAGGTAAGAGATTCAGTCAAAACTGTAAAATTTCGGCCCTGGAAATTTCAGCTTCAAAAAACTGAAAATGGGACAGTATGATTTTCTATTTTTTTTTCGAGATTTTGACTTCCAGTACCCCAATTTGGTTTCATACCATCATCAATTAACTGACTAATAATTGGTTTGTGGGCAAAAATGTCATCCAATCTGTCAAATGTGTGTTCAAACATTTTCATATCTAAAAATGGGACAGAGTTTTGAAAATACAACTTTTCGTTTTGTTAAGATTTCTGCTGTGAGCTTCCTCCGACCCAAATCAAACTTCCAGCACCCCAATCGTGTCATTTGGCATCTATAGTTGACTGACTAATTGGTTGAGGGTCAGAAATTCGGCCAAAACTGTAGATGTCGAATTTCAACAATCGGTAAAGGTCCCACTTAGCAACACTTAGTAACACGTGGAAACACGTGATTACAATATTATAACAGTTAACTACTAATTACACACTTACACAGCTACACAGTCGGTTACTTATACTATGACCCTGTTATCACATAACGTGTTGACATGTGTTACCTTGGTAACAGGTGCTACCTTGGTAACATGAGCTGCCTTGGTAACAGGTGCTACCTTGGTAACATGAGCTGCCTTGGTAACATGAGCTGCCATTATCTTAAACCTATGGTGGGAAGTGAAGCTCAAATTAACAGTTATACTGAAGTTTTGAGATCACTTCTAATAAATGTTTAGAATATTAAGTTTCGTAGTTTAAATAGCTTTACGTGGCTTTATAATATCAGCATTCGAATACCTTATTAACATTAAGTTGAACCTGTTTTAAATTTGATATCTATATTCGCTTGTTTTAAATTTTCTGGGTTACTACCAACACGTTTAAAAGCTTGTTTCTTCCTGATGTAACCAAAGCGAAAAGCTCTTCAAATAAACAATGAAATTTAGATCTCGAACTTGTATTAATTTTGTTTTCTAGTGACGATTGTTAAGCGGAAAATCCTGTACGGTCGTTAACTTTTTAGTAAAATGGAGCAGCAAAATGTTCCAGACTTTAAAGATGAGATGAAGATAGAAGAAGAACGTATTTCACCGCAATTGATCAAGACAGAGATTAAGAAGGAGGAAGAGAATTTTCTTATTAAATCAGAAGTTTATTCAAATGCAGTTTCTCAGTTGGATTGTCCCAACCAGGAATCAGAATTGCTTCGCTACCAGTGGGTTCATCCTAATAAAAATGCTTACATTCGCTCTGAATGTTCCTACAATGCAAGCAAAAAAACAGCTTTAGTTTCACATCAACGGACTCATACCGATGAAAAACCGTATAAATGCTCCGAATGTTCTTACAGTGCAAGCGTAAAACACTACTTAGTTCGCCATCAGAGCGTAAAATAAAACTTAGTTCGCCATCAGATGACTCATACCGGTGAAAAACCATACAAATGCTCCGAATGTTCCTACAGTTCAAGCCGAAAACCAAACCTAGTCAGCCATCATATGACGCATACCGGTGAAAAACCGTACAAATGCTCCGAATGTTCCTTTAGTACTGGCTGGAAATCAACCCTGGTGGGACATCAGAGGACTCATACCGGTGAAAAACCGTTTAAATGCTCCGAATGTTCCTACAGTGCAAGCTTAAAACAAAACCTAGTTAAACATAAGAGGACTCATACCGGCGAAAAACCGTATAAATGCTCTGAATGTTCCTACAGTGCAAGCTTAAAACAAAACCTAGTTAAACATCAGAGGACTCATACCGGTGAAAAATCGTATAAATGCTCCGAATGTTCCTTTAGTACTGGGTGGGAATCAAGCCTGGTTGGACATCAGATGACTCATACCGGTGAAAAACCGTTTAAATGCTCCGAATGTTCCTACAGTGCAAGCTTAAAACAAAACTTAGTTCGCCATCAGATGACTCATACCGGTGAAAAATCGTATAAATGCTCCGAATGTTCTTACAGTTCAATCCGAAAATCAAACCTAGTTAAACATCAGATGACTCATACCGGTGAAAAACCGTTTAAATGCTCCGAATGTTCCTACAGTGCAAGCTTAAAACAAAACTTAGTTCGCCATCAGATGACTCATACCGGTGAAAAATCGTATAAATGCTCCGAATGTTCCTACAGTTCAAGCCGAAAATCAGACCTAAGTAAACATCAAATGACTCATACCGGTGAAAAACCGTATAAATGTTTCGAATGTTCCTACAGTTCAATCCGAAAATCAGACCTAAGTAAACATCAGATGACTCATACCGGTTGTGTTGGAGGACCCATTTTTGTTAAGCCTCTACCTTTCGTGAAGCCACTCACATTTGTAAAGCCTCTGAACTTCCTTCTCCAGTCACCTACCTGAATCTCACAAGCCTCAACCTGCAGATCCTCTCACCTTCTCACCTGGTGAATCTGTTTTCACACCTGCTCCCACTGTCCCACTTACCTTATACTCTACAACATTTCCTTCCCCCTCTCATATTTCCTGCCAGTTCAGCGACCATTGGGTGTAAATCAAAGTGTATGTGATATGTTATGATGGGAAGAGGACGATGTTTCTCGTTCAAATCAAATATAAATTAGCACAATGCTGTCTTAAAGGGTCTAATTAATCCTAGTAGTTTTACTATTACAATGTACATTGGGGGGATTTGTGACAAAGTATAAATTAAAGCTGTCTGGTTTTATAAAGTTAAGTAATTATAATCAATAATCAGGGAATATTACAAAATCTATATTAATGTTATTAGAATTTAGTATAATACTTTATACGTTAGTATTTTTAGTTTATTCAGTTTTCGAGCAACTACAAAATGCTTTACCTAACCTTCTTCATATTTCAATTTCAATATCATACACTATTGTTTCATTTAAATGTAGTTTTGGTTTAGAGAGTAACCTTACCGGTCCAGGATCAGATAACTGGATGTTTAGGCAAGTTGTTTGGATATGGGACACACATAACTACCGTCCCGGCCCTGTCCAGTGGCGTAACGTTATATATGTTACCCGAGCCACTCCACGCTGGCCCGCCAGAGGCACATATTATTATTAGGTGCGGTAAAAAAATCGAAATTATGCGGTACCGCACCCGAATATAAAGGTAAAATGTGCGGTAAGGTGCGGTAAATTTTTACCAATTATGCGGCAAACGTGCGACGATTTTTTCGAAATTTGTGCGGGAATTGTGCGGTTTTCTTTTGCATTTTCTGAAGGACTTTGGAAATTCTAAACGTATAACCGCCGCTCTTATCCAAAATAGGTCTGTTTATGTGTTACTGAGGGTGTAGTTCTTTACTAAGACCATGATTGAACCTATATTGAGATTCAGTTATCTGAGAACAGTGACTCGATCTGGTAGAGATCAGGAGACAGGTATTTGAAGACGCCTCTTGATAGAGTCGATCAGATCCCATGCGTGATCGCTAATATGTGACACGCTTGTTGGCATTGATCGTCAGTACTTGTAAACCATTTGATCCAAGATCCATTAACTTAAGCCCACTATGAAGCCAAGGCTACAACGAATAGAGCTCATTATCCGATAAAAAGGGCTGCAGGTATGATCATAGTACGGTAACGACGAGGGTTCCATAACGGCCTGGGTCACGGCCCCGAAAGGGCCTGGGTCACGGTCCCGAAAGGGCCTGGGTAACGGTCCCGAAAGGGCCTGGGTCATGGTCCCGAAAGGGCCTGGGTCACGTGGTAACCGGGTCACGTGGCCTAGGCATGAGTTCCAAAAGGGCCTGGGTAACGGTCCCGAAAGGGCCTGGGTCATGGTCCCGAAAGGGCCTGGGTCACGTGGTAACTGGGTCACGTGGCCTAGGTATGAGTTCCAAAAGGGCCTGGGTCACGGTCCCGAAAGGGCCTGGGTCAGGGTCCCGAAAGGGCCGGGGTAACGGTCACGAAAGGGCCTGGGTCATGGTCCCGAAAGGGCCTGGGTCACGTGGTAACCGGGTCACGTGGCCTAGGCATGAGTTCCAAAAGGGCCTGGGTAACGGTCCCGAAAGGGCCTGGGTCAAGGTCCCGAAAGGGCCGGGGTCACGTGGTAACTGGGTCAGGTGGCCTAGGTATGAGTTCCAAAAGGGCCTTGGTCACGGTCCCGAAAGGGCCTGGGTCACGGTCCCGAAAGGGCCTGGGTAACGGTCCCGAAAGGGCCTGGGTCATGGTCCCGAAAGGGCCTGGGTCACGTGGTAACTGGGTCACGTGGCCTAGGTATGAGGGCCTGGGTCACGGTCCCGAAAGGGCCTGAGTCACGGTCCTAAAAGGGCGTGAGTCACGGTCCTAAAAGGGCCCGACTTTTAACATATTTTGGTTTTTACACTCGAAAATCTTTACGCAAAAATTTCAAAATTATGCGAAATTACGCGGAAAATGCTAGATCATGCGGAAATATGCAGAAAATTACAAAATGTGCGGAAGTGTGCGGAAAACAATAAATTATGCGGAAATGTACGGAAAACGGTAAATTGTGCAATCCCGCACCCATCGCATTTAATATGTGCCTCTGCCCGTTTTAGACCTTGTTTAATACAGGTTCAGTTAGTTCTAGTCGCCCTATCCTTTGACCAGGGAGCGCCCCGTTAAGGCCAGTCAAGCCGGTTGCCGTGTAATAGCCGTTTCGTTTTTACACCATCTGGAGGCCACGGTGGGATACGAACCCACGCCCCGGAGGACCAGTTTTAATACTTTCAACACGACTATATAACAAATAATTTGAGTTTGGTTTCTAAATCAGGAACCCACTATTTTATCTCAGTGTGTGTAGTCGTTTTACATTTGGTTGCAAATAGCGAGCTCTGTTATCAGCTGTTGTAACTTGCGATAAGAAGTGCTTGTCTTTTAGTGTGATCGTTGTGTAGCCTGTATACAAGAACTGTACATTGGAATATACACGATGCAGTACTCATACCATGAACATACGAAGCATTTGGTCGATGACCCCGATAATGATGATCTGTTTAGTGCCAGACATGCAGATCAGGTAGCGAGAGCTACAAACAGTGTTTTCAATGAAATGTGCCATGAACTGGATGTTAAGGAATACGGAGATCTGGTAATCGTACTGTAGTGCGACACGTACTCTAGTGCGACACGTACTCTAGTGCGAAGTCCGACAAAAACACCCTCTGTCGCACTATAGTACGTGTCGCACTACGATCCAGGTAGCGTACTCTAGTGCGACAAATTATCCTGACTTATTTCCAAGTTCAGGTCACATCCTATCCTTCTTATGGACCATTAAGTGATTCGTCGGGTCGGTTCACGTCACTTATTTCGAAGTGATCCACTGATCATAATTCCTTCGGGTCAGTTCAAGCCACGTATGCAGTGTGTGATCCACTGGGTAATTCTTAAGCAGCATATGATCCTCATTCCTATCACACGCATCGTATGAAGGTATATCTCCGATTGGGATAACAAGTTCATATGCTTGGGCCGTAAATAAGGTCACGATGATTCTACCAAAGCATTGAACAACATCAACATGTCTTCTTCAATCACCTTCATTCCTGGACGCACTATTGGTTCAAGAAACGTTATCCACGACGGATACCGCTACTGCCTGGATAAGAATCGCGACGACAAGACCTACTGGCGATGCACTGAGAAGACCTGCTCCGGACGTCTCAGTCTGACGAACAAAACTACTGTGACCTGGACGCAGCTGAAAGCAACCCTTCCCTCGGAGATGGATTCCTTTGCTGCCTAGTGACTACTACGAACGTACCTGGGTCGGAACACAAACCTCCTCTCCCCCTTGATGAGCTGCACCAACCCTACTATCTGGCGATTTATCGACGTCCTGAAGAAGGAGCAGGATCTAACCCAATGGAAGATCAACCAGAAGAATGAAGATGCTCAGACAACTACCTCCTCGCCGACTGAAGAAGTGGACTGATTATTTTTATTGAATGTGTAAAGTGTTTTGTCGCACTTTAGTTCGTGTCGCACTACAGTCCAGGTAGCGCACTGTAGTGCGACAGTGTCGGCCTTGATAATTCTCTGTCGCACTAGGGTACGTGTCGCACTACGATCCAGGTAGCGTACTCTACTGCGACAGTGTCGATCTTGGAGGTTTCGCACTAGGGTACGTGTCGCACTAGAGTACGTGTCGCACTACAGTACGTGAACCCGGAGATCTAGTATTGAAAAACCTGAACAAGCGATCAGTTTCGAAAGAAAAACTGTGTGATTGGCTGCAAACTGTTTGTTTTTTGAATCGTTATGCAGCTCCTCATTTGCAAATGGCTGCGGAGAGAGTAGATAAACAGAACATTTCATTAATCGCGGAGCAGAAATCTGTCATTGATTTGCAGAAGCAGCTCATTGAAAAGAAGGACGAAGAACTCAAGTCTGTCCAAACAACTGTGCAGACAGAGATGAAATCATATTCTTCTGCCCTGAAGAAGACTTGTGCAGCTGCTCTTACGCCAAAGAAGATCTGTACTGCAGTTAAGACAATAGCTGAAAAGGATGAAAGAAGCAGAAACGTCGTAATCTACGGAATAAGTGAATCCAACGGCGAGAAGTTAGAAAACAAAGTTGCTGAAGTTCTTGGTGAGATAAACGAGAAACCTTCATTTCGTGACTGTTGTAGAGTTGGTTTGAAAAGAGCCGGCACATTAATACGACCTACTAAACTATCTCTAAATAGCTCTGATATGGTTACTCAGGTGCTGCGAAAAGCGAAACTACTACGCACAAAAGAGGGCTATAAAAGTATCTACAATTGCCCAGACAGATCAGTGGAAGAAAGGAGAGCTTACAAGAAGCTCTGGGAGGAATTGAAAGAGAAGAGGAAAGCAGAGCCTAACAGAGTTCATTTCATAAGGAACAATAAGATTGTCAGCTCTGATAAGAACAGTGTATCAGCCTCGTCTGAAGAAATTTGAACTGTTTCACATTAGCTTCACCACACATTTATTTTATCACAATTTGTTTCACACTTTTAAAAATCATATTGGGGCCATGTAATTGCGGGCACGTTTTACTGTGCAGTACCGTGTTTGGTCTCCCGTCAGATTTTACAGACGGGGGCAATAATTTATTCGAGTTTATTTCATACGTTGTAATTGCTGTACTCTGTAAAGTTTGAAAAGTATTTAATAAAAATGGTCAGGAAGACAAATACTTAAGCACTGACAAAGCGAAAGGTAAAAGTGAAAAAACAGAAAGAATCCTCCCTTGTTTTCAGTTGTACGTCGTGCGCACAACCTCAACTGTTGGTCCAGGGGAAAAGGAACATTTTGTGCCACCCTCAAGTGGGCGTTTGTAGAGAATGCCTAATATTTGCTCATGCTGATATCATTCCCATCGACGATCCTCAATTTCATCCGTGGTTGTTCTAAACGGTGGAATTGCATATACTCCTGACGTCATGTTGTTCTAAACTTCTGTTGTTCTAAACTTCTGACACCATGTTGTAGTTGGCAGAACAAGTAGACAAGTAATACTCTGCTTTAACATGCTGCTCTAAGGGACCTAAATAGGGAATAGGCAATAGTCAGTACAATGTAATTAATATAGATAATAACATCACAACAAAGAGGGTTATGAGATTTATTGTCGGTGGTGCAGTGAACTCGGTAATCTGGTATGCTGTGACGAGTGTAAAACTCCTTTCTGTGAAGAGTGTATCAGTAGAAGCATTGGACTAGAGTATTATGATTCCCTGATGGATGTGGAGGAGTGGAAATGTTTTATATGTGAACCCACTGCTATTGAGAGCTTACAAGAATTAACCAAAGCTGCTCTTGATCATCAAAACGACAACGACCCCACTGATCTGTTATTGGAGAAATGTTCCGCCATTTTTAACGGCGATGCAGATGTAAATGATTCAGAGAGAGAAGAGATCATTAAGGAGAGGTTGCGATTGCGCAGAAATAAAGTTATCAAAGAAATAGTTAAGAAAAGAAAGATGTCAGTTATTCTGATAAAGAATCATGTCAGTGATTCTGATAAAGAATCAATTAAGAAAAGAAAGAAGTCTGGTTCCAATTCAGAATATGAGTCACCTCCAGAATCACACAAGAAGGTCAAAGATTCAGATGACAAATCAAGAAGCTTAATGGAGAGGATTGATGAGGAAGGGTCTAGTGATTTAGAAGAAGATTCCAATGAAGAAGATGAAAAAGAAGATGATAAAGTTATCAAAGAAATAGTTAAGAAAAGAAAGAAATCTGCTTCTGATGTCAGTTATTCTGATAAAGAATCATGTCAGTTATTCTGATAAAGAATCAATTAAGAAAAGAAAGAAGTCTGGTTCCAATTCAGAATACGAGTCACCTCCAGAATCACACAAGAAGGTCAAAGATTCAGATGACAAATCAAGAAGCTTAATGGAGAGGATTGATGAGGAAGGGTCTAGTGATTTAGAAGAAGATTCCAATGAAGAAGATGATAAAGAAGATGATAAAGTTATCAAAGAAATAGTTAAGAAAAGAAAGAAATCTGCTTCTGATGTCAGTTATTCTGATAAAGAATCATGTCAGTTATTCTGATAAAGAATCAATTAAGAAAAGAAAGAAGTCTGGTTCCAATTCAGAATACGAGTCACCTCCAGAATCACACAAGAAGGTCAAAGATTCAGATGACAAATCAAGAAGCTTAATGGAGAGGATTGATGAGGAAGGGTCTAGTGATTTAGAAGAAGATTCCAATGAAGAAGATGATAAAGAAGATGATAAAGTTATCAAAGAAATAGTTAAGAAAAGAAAGAAATCTGCTTCTGATGTCAGTTATTCTGATAAAGAATCATGTCAGTGATTCTGATAAAGAATCAATTAAGAAAAGAAAGAAGTCTGGTTCCAATTCAGAATACGAGTCATCTCCAGAATCACACAAGAAGGTCAAAGATTCAGATGACGATTCTTTGACAAAAGCTGTCGATAAATTGAAGAATTCAGATGATGATTCTATAGTCAGTACAATGTAATTAATATAGATAATAACATCACAACAAAGAGGGTTATGAGATTTATTGTCGGTGGTGCAGTGAACCCGGTAATCTGGTATGCTGTGACGAGTGTAAAACTCCTTTCTGTGAAGAGTGTATCAGTAGAAGCATTGGACTAGAGTATTATGATTCCCTGATGGATGTGGAGGAGTGGAAATGTTTTATATGTGAACCCACTGCTATTGAGAGCTTACAAGAATTAACCAAAGCTGCTCTTGATCATCAGAATGACAACGACCCCACTGATCTGTTATTGGAGAAATGTTCCGCCATTTTTAACGGCGATGCAGATGTAAATGATTCAGAGAGAGAAGAGATCATTAAGGAGAGGTTGCGATTGCGCAGAAATAAAGTTATCAAAGAAATAGTTAAGAAAAGAAAGATGTCAGTTATTCTGATAAAGAATCATGTCAGTGATTCTGATAAAGAATCAATTAAGAAAAGAAAGAAGTCTGGTTCCAATTCAGAATATGAGTCACCTCCAGAATCACACAAGAAGGTCAAAGATTCAGATGACAAATCAAGAAGCTTAATGGAGAGGATTGATGAGGAAGGGTCTAGTGATTTAGAAGAAGATTCCAATGAAGAAGATGATAAAGAAGATGATAAAGTTATCAAAGAAATAGTTAAGAAAAGAAAGATGTCAGTTATTCTGATAAAGAATCATGTCAGTTATTCTGATAAAGAATCAATTAAGAAAAGAAAGAAGTCTGGTTCCAATTCAGAATACGAGTCACCTCCAGAATCACACAAGAAGGTCAAAGATTCAGATGACAAATCAAGAAGCTTAATGGAGAGGATTGATGAGGAAGGGTCTAGTGATTTAGAAGAAGATTCCAATGAAGAAGATGAAAAAGAATATGATAAAGTTATCAAAGAAATAGTTAAGAAAAGAAAGAAATCTGCTTCTGATGTCAGTTATTCTGATAAAGAATCATGTCAGTTATTCTGATAAAGAATCAATTAAGAAAAGAAAGAAGTCTGGTTCCAATTCAGAATACGAGTCACCTCCAGAATCACACAAGAAGGTCAAAGATTCAGATGACAAATCAAGAAGCTTAATGGAGAGGATTGATGAGGAAGGGTCTAGTGATTTAGAAGAAGATTCCAATGAAGAAGATGAAAAAGAAGATGATAAAGTTATCAAAGAAATAGTTAAGAAAAGAAAGAAATCTGCTTCTGATGTCAGTGATTCTGATAAAGAATCAATTAAGAAAAGAAAGAAGTCTGGTTCCAATTCAGAATACGAGTCACCTCCAGAATCACACAAGAAGGTCAAAGATTCAGATGACAAATCAAGAAGCTTAATGGAGAGGATTGATGAGGAAGGGTCTAGTGATTTAGAAGAAGATTCCAATGAAGAAGATGAAAAAGAAGATGATAAAGTTATCAAAGAAATAGTTAAGAAAAGAAAGAAATCTGCTTCTGATGTCAGTTATTCTGATAAAGAATCATGTCAGTTATTCTGATAAAGAATCAATTAAGAAAAGAAAGAAGTCTGGTTCCAATTCAGAATACGAGTCACCTCCAGAATCACACAAGAAGGTCAAAGATTCAGATGACAAATCAAGAAGCTTAATGGAGAGGATTGATGAGGAAGGGTCTAGTGATTTAGAAGAAGATTCCAATGAAGAAGATGATAAAGAAGATGATAAAGTTATCAAAGAAATAGTTAAGAAAAGAAAGAAATCTGCTTCTGATGTCAGTTATTCTGATAAAGAATCATGTCAGTTATTCTGATAAAGAATCAATTAAGAAAAGAAAGAAGTCTGGTTCCAATTCAGAATACGAGTCACCTCCAGAATCACACAAGAAGGTCAAAGATTCAGATGACAAATCAAGAAGCTTAATGGAGAGGATTGATGAGGAAGGGTCTAGTGATTTAGAAGAAGATTCCAATGAAGAAGATGATAAAGAAGATGATAAAGTTATCAAAGAAATAGTTAAGAAAAGAAAGAAATCTGCTTCTGATGTCAGTTATTCTGATAAAGAATCATGTCAGTGATTCTGATAAAGAATCAATTAAGAAAAGAAAGAAGTCTGGTTCCAATTCAGAATACGAGTCATCTCCAGAATCACACAAGAAGGTCAAAGATTCAGATGACGATTCTTTGACAAAAGCTGTCGATAAATTGAAGAATTCAGATGATGATTCTATAGTCAGTACAATGTAATTAATATAGATAATAACATCACAACAAAGAGGGTTATGAGATTTATTGTCGGTGGTGCAGTGAACCCGGTAATCTGGTATGCTGTGACGAGTGTAAAACTCCTTTCTGTGAAGAGTGTATCAGTAGAAGCATTGGACTAGAGTATTATGATTCCCTGATGGATGTGGAGGAGTGGAAATGTTTTATATGTGAACCCACTGCTATTGAGAGCTTACAAGAATTAACCAAAGCTGCTCTTGATCATCAGAATGACAACGACCCCACTGATCTGTTATTGGAGAAATGTTCCGCCATTTTTAACGGCGATGCAGATGTAAATGATTCAGAGAGAGAAGAGATCATTAAGGAGAGGTTGCGATTGCGCAGAAATAAAGTTATCAAAGAAATAGTTAAGAAAAGAAAGATGTCAGTGATTCTGATAAAGAATCATGTCAGTGATTCTGATAAAGAATCAATTAAGAAAAGAAAGAAGTCTGGTTCCAATTCAGAATACGAGTCACCTCCAGAATCACACAAGAAGGTCAAAGATTCAGATGACAAATCAAGAAGCTTAATGGAGAGGATTGATGAGGAAGGGTCTAGTGATTTAGAAGAAGATTCCAATGAAGAAGATGATAAAGAAGATGATAAAGTTATCAAAGAAATAGTTAAGAAAAGAAAGAAATCTGCTTCTGATGTCAGTGATTCTGATAAAGAATCAATTAAGAAAAGAAAGAAGTCTGGTTCCAATTCAGAATACGAGTCACCTCCAGAATCACACAAGAAGGTCAAAGATTCAGATGACAAATCAAGAAGCTTAATGGAGAGGATTGATGAGGAAGGGTCTAGTGATTTAGAAGAAGATTCCAATGAAGAAGATGATAAAGAAGATGATAAAGTTATCAAAGAAATAGTTAAGAAAAGAAAGAAATCTGCTTCTGATGTCAGTTATTCTGATAAAGAATCATGTCAGTGATTCTGATAAAGAATCAATTAAGAAAAGAAAGAAGTCTGGTTCCAATTCAGAATACGAGTCATCTCCAGAATCACACAAGAAGGTCAAAGATTCAGATGACGATTCTTTGACAAAAGCTGTCGATAAATTGAAGAATTCAGATGATGATTCTATAGTCAGTACAATGTAATTAATATAGATAATAACATCACAACAAAGAGGGTTATGAGATTTATTGTCGGTGGTGCAGTGAACCCGGTAATCTGGTATGCTGTGACGAGTGTAAAACTCCTTTCTGTGAAGAGTGTATCAGTAGAAGCATTGGACTAGAGTATTATGATTCCCTGATGGATGTGGAGGAGTGGAAATGTTTTATATGTGAACCCACTGCTATTGAGAGCTTACAAGAATTAACCAAAGCTGCTCTTGATCATCAGAATGACAACGACCCCACTGATCTGTTATTGGAGAAATGTTCCGCCATTTTTAACGGCGATGCAGATGTAAATGATTCAGAGAGAGAAGAGATCATTAAGGAGAGGTTGCGATTGCGCAGAAATAAAGTTATCAAAGAAATAGTTAAGAAAAGAAAGATGTCAGTGATTCTGATAAAGAATCATGTCAGTGATTCTGATAAAGAATCAATTAAGAAAAGAAAGAAGTCTGGTTCCAATTCAGAATACGAGTCACCTCCAGAATCACACAAGAAGGTCAAAGATTCAGATGACAAATCAAGAAGCTTAATGGAGAGGATTGATGAGGAAGGGTCTAGTGATTTAGAAGAAGATTCCAATGAAGAAGATGATAAAGAAGATGATAAAGTTATCAAAGAAATAGTTAAGAAAAGAAAGAAATCTGCTTCTGATGTCAGTGATTCTGATAAAGAATCAATTAAGAAAAGAAAGAAGTCTGGTTCCAATTCAGAATACGAGTCATCTCCAGAATCACCCAAGAAGGTCAAAGATTCAGATGACGATTCTTTGACAAAAGCTGTCGATAAATTGAAGAATTCAGATGATGATTCTAAACCGCCCAAAATAACAGCTGATTCAGATGAAGAGTCAGTGCCTTCAGTTGATGTGTCAGAAAAAGGTTCTGCTAAGGAAAAACATACATCAGATTCGTATTCAGTAGCATCCAATGAGACCCTTGATTTGGAAAAACCCTCCAAGAAACATAACAGACAATCAACAAAATGCGAAACTGAAACCGGCTGATCCGAAAACCTCCGATAATACAGGTTCAGTTAGTTCTAGTCGCCCTATCCTTTGACCAGGGAGCGCCCCGTTAAGGCCAGTCAAGCCGGTTGCCGTGTAATAGCCGTTTCGTTTTAACACCATCTGGAGGCCGTAATAAGTGGTCGTTATGGAAAGTCAGGGTAGTACGCTAGAGCTGCAAGCGGATATTACAAGCTTGAAGAAACAAAGAGCTGATCTGGAAGAACAAATCAGTAGGGCTGAGGCCAGTCTTAATGAACTGGAACCAGATGATATAGGTTCTATCAGTCAGAGGAAAATCGCGTTGTATGACATGGAAAAAGAGTTGAAACGAATAGGGAAATCCCTGGCTGAGAACACAGAAAGGTTGACTAATATGACGGTCAATGCTAAGGTTGAACTCAGTAGACCAGCTGTCAAAAAGGAAGCTGCTGATTGGTTACATGACGACTCTGAAGTTAGTGTGGGCTCACCAGAGCTGAGTTGGCCACAGGAGAGAGCTCCACGTCAGTTCCACGGGAGTAAAGCTCCTCGTTACAGAAAGGGGGATGATTTTAGTACCTTTCTGCTGCGCTTTGAGCATCATGTCAGACTCTCCGGTATATGTGACAACCTAGATCTCAGAATCAGCGGATTAGTGGAGGACAATTCTCTGTTCAAGAAGATCTCTAACTTTCAGTTTACTGGGGATGAAAAAAGAGATATTAAGAGATTTATTTCTGCAATTAAGACTAGGCTTTTCCCATCGACTGACACCCGGATAATGAGGACTAAGTTTGGTCGCATGAAACAGGAGACAGGAGAGTCAGTCGAACAGTTTTCGGAGCGAATACGTGACAGCGCGGAGATTATATTCTCGTCAAGACTAGAGCGAGAAGGAGCCGCTGTGACCGCCTTTATTTCTGGTTTATCTAACACAGCGATAAAACGTAGACTGTTGCAGATGGGAGACAGTGAAGATGAAAATCTGGATCACGTGACACAAATTGCAGTGCAAGAGGAGCACATCTCACAGGCTCTGGAGGAGCAAGATGACAGTGTTTCACCGGTGGAGGAGTTCTCTGGAATGCCATTGTTCGGAGTTGGGAGCGAACCAGTGCCGGGAAATACAGGCTGTCAGAAATGTGGTAAACCGGGTCACGTGTCAGAAAACTGTTGGGCAGGAATCACGTGTCAGTTGTGTGACAAGACTGGGCATGTTGCCCGAGTTTGTAGAGAGAGGAGTACAGCCAGCATTCCCAACAGAGGAAGAGGTGGATATAGGACGGGAAACTCCACTGCACCTCCAGCTCCAAGAGGGAGAGCTGTCGTATGTTATGGTTGTCAGCAAGTGGGACATTACAGGAGAGACTGTCCGTCAAATAGATCTGGTACTTGGGGAAGTCGGGTTGAACGCCAGGGTGAGATGTTACCGGAGCAACACCAACAGATGAACTACCAGAATGATCATTTAAACGGGTACGCGACTGGTTCAAACCTGACCAAACCTGACTCAATTACAGTCGCGGAGGAAGGTTCTAGAATTAGAGCCAGATAGTAGTCAGGTTAATGCAGTGTCGTGGAAACATATTCTGATTCAAGGCCTTTGCAGAGGTGCTGATGTCCTCTTTTTCGTAGATAGTGGGTCAGCTGTTAGCATTGTTTCTACGGGGCTGGTAAAAAAGCTTGGGTTGGAGCCTAGAGGAGAACGTTGGTAGCTGTAAGATGGTTCTGAAGTCGTTTTCTCAGGACACGATTCCGATCAAGGGCCGTATTCGGATGGACATTGTTATAGCTGGAGGTCACTTTTCTCATGATTTCATAGTTACAGACCTATTAGATACTGAATTTCTTATAGGGGATGATTTTCTCAGGACCAATAAGATAGTATTAGACTATAAGAAATGCCAACTAACCCTGGAAGACGGCAATAGTATCGGATTCAGAAAGAAGCCCACTAACGTAACTGTGAAGGATCGGCTCAAGATCAGATGTGCGAAGGTGACTGTGATTCCACCAAACACAGCCCAATTTGTAGGAGGCCGAATCCAGGCAAAGGGCGGGAGTTATCAGGGCATCACGGAACCGTATTATAGAAATGGGTTGCAGCGCACAGGCATTTTGATGGCTACAGCAGTAGTCCACTCCCGCGGTAAATTTGTCCCGGTGAAATGCATCAACGCCACCGACAGGCCCATTCAAATATTTAGAAACATTGTCATAGGACATTTAAAACCGCTAGGGGATCATCACATGATACACGGTGTTACGATAGTAAAGCCTGAGGCTGATGCGATACACAGGGACGTTTCCGGGATTCAGGACGCTACAGGTAGCGAGAGGGTACCGGATAGCAGCTGCACTGACCAGTGGACTAAGAAGGAACTGTTCAAGAGCTTGAAACTTGACGAGGTTGAAGCAGAGATGACAGCTAATGACCGGGAGCGTCTTGAGCAGATAATCTGGGAACATAGAGGGTGTTTCTCAAGAAACGAGTTTGATATCGGGTGTTGTACAGAGTTTGAGACTGAAATAAAACTGAAGGAGGGGACATCACCTGCCTGGACTACGCCCATCCCGACGGCCTACAAGCTCAGAGACGAAATGGACAGGCAGATAGACCAGATGGTCAAGGTTGGTGTAGTAGAACCAACGTTTGAGCCCAGTGAGTTTAACTCTCCCATTTTTCTGGTAAAGAAGAATACACCCAACTAATGGCGACTTGTAGCGGATCTTAGAAATCTAAACAAGGTATGTCTAGATAAGAAGTATCCCTTACCTAACTTGAACCACGTGCTAGACACGATAGGAGCAGATACGTTGTTTTCAAGTTTCGACCTCAGTAAAAGCTTCTGGCAGGTTCCGTATTCTAAGGAGTCAAAGAAAATGACCGCATTTCTTTACAGGGGCAAGTCATATTGTTGGGCTAGAATGATTATGGGGCACAAAAACTCTAGTAGTGCATTTTCGAGGATGATGTACAAGTTGCTGGCCACTATTCCCATCGATCAGCTAATTTTCTTTATAGATGATCTATTTTTGAGCTCTACATCGGTGGAGGATCATCTTAACAGGCTAGAAATACTACTAGGAAGGTTGATGAGTGCCAATTTAAAGCTCACCCCCAAAAAGTGCGAGTTACTAAAGAGGAAAGTGACATTCGTAGGTGTATCTGTTAGTGATGAAGGAATACAGATCACAGAAGACCGGATCAAGGACTTACTTGAGTTACCTGTTCCTACTACTAGTAAGAGGGTCCAATAGGTGCTAGGAGCCCTGAACTATGTTCGGAAGTGGATCCTGAACTATAGTAGGCTAGCGAGACCGCTTCACCAGCTTACTGCTAAGGATACCAAGTTTGAATGGAGCAGTGAGTGTCAGAGAGCATTTGAGGAGCTGAAAAACGCAGTAGCCCAGAGCACTATCTTAGCTATTCCAGATACCAGCGACCCTTACAAGTCATACCAGGTTCAGGTTGACGCTAGCAAACATGGGTACGGTGCCACACTCTCACAGGAACTTCCAGTTAACGGGGGAAGAGAGAGGAGAATAGTTGCGTTCTACAGCAAGGCGGTCCCACAGTTTAAGAGGGAACGTAGCCAGACTCAGCTTGAGTTTGATGCGATGGTATTGGCCATTCAACATTGGAAGATGTACCTGAGAAATACGGAGTTCAAAGTTTTGACAGATTGCAAAAGTTTACTATCGGTTTTCTAAATCTGATCCATCTCTCATCAGAAAGTGCCAGGAACTAGCCAACTTCACCTTCTCAATAGAGCACGTAGAGGGCAAGAAAAACACGCTTTGTGACTTCTTGAGTAGATTCCCATTCAGGAGGAAGACAGTTGACATGGGATGTCAGACGGAAGTGGTAGATACTGATAAGGGAGGACACATAGGGCTTGATAAGTGTTCGCGAAATGATGAACGCAGGTTTACTGCACAAGAACTTTCTAGACAAGTTAGTGCTTGTGGTCGTGAAATTGAATCGCCCACGGTTAAGGCGGAGGAAAGCTCTGGTTGCAAACCAGAGGGGACAATAAGCGAGGAATGTGAAATGAAAAGATCAGTTCCTACTGAGTCAGAGATTATACCTTATCGGACCTTATTTGGACGGACATTACTTGAACGCTGGAGGCCCTAGCGTTCATCTTAATGTCCGTTCAAATAAAGTCCGTTCAATTAATGTCCGTCCAAGTTAAAGTCCGTTGAAATTTTTTCAAAAATTTTTCCATTTCGAACTTTTTGTCCAGAATATGACAACTTTAAGAACTTTATTGTGCCGTAAGTTAACGACGAAAAGGTTCTCCTTGGTCTGCCGGAGGCACAGAAAACTTTACTTGTTCCAGCCTCTAGATATTACGGTAAATCGTGTTGCCAAGGACATTGTCCGACGTTGTTATAGCTCATATTACTCAGGGGAGGTAATGAAACAGATAAGTGATGGGAAAGCTCCACGTGATGTTAAGGTTAACCTTAAGTTGTCTAAGATAAAACCACTTCACGCCGAATGGCTTGTAAAAGTTAACACTGAAATGCAGGACCGGGGTAGTGTGATAAAAAAAGGTTTCCATATAAAAGCTAGAATTCACTGATGCTTTAAGCATGGACTATTTCATGCACGAAAACCCATTTGATGAAGATGATATGTGATATTAGAAACTGATAATGTACACATATTTTAACATTTTTACTGCTCAATGACTGCTTTTCTTACTTACTGTATAAAAAATGGATTTAAAAATCATTTGCTGAAATTAAAAAAACGTAGAATTTTTTTAAAAATTCGGATTTTTGATGGTTTTGAATGCCTTCGAGCGTTCATATTAAGGGGGCATACACCAAAACAGTGGTTTGTGCCGTCCAGACCAAATGACCTCATAGGCAGTTCAGTGACCTTCTAGCGCACCGTTTCCACACCAAAAAAAATTATTTTGAGAATACCCATTTTTGTAATCGACCATTTCCTGGTTAAGAGTGCAATTTTCGGAAAAAATTATTTTGTGGTTGAGACGCTATAA